GGTCTGTGAATCCTGGGGATGTCGGAGGCCCATTGATGTAGGACCCTAAATCCTAAACCCTTAGCCATAAAGCCCTAAACCCTAAATCCTGAACCCTAAACCCCCAAACCCTAAACCCTAAAATCCCAAACCTTCAGCCTTAACACCTCAATCCTACTAGGAGGGTCAAGGGGGACTTAGTAAGTAGGTTATACTCACCACCTTCGAGATGGTGAATGGTTCTCATGGGCGCAGCTGCACCTTTTGACTTTGCCCCCCGAGTACCAGGCAAAAACAACTGTTTTCCGAACATGATCCTCTTCCTGGTTTTCTATACTAGCCAAAATTCCTGACAGCATTTTCGTATATACACACCTATGTCCTGCCCGTCCTTAACAGGGCTCACGCACTCCCATAATTTAGGCTACCCAAAAAAGGACCCTAATTTTGACAACCACCCACATGCTCGTAGGCTTCTAGCTTCTCGCACTGAGGCTTAGGCTTGCTGATGGTAATAGGCTTCAAGATTCCAATTCAGGCACTTCAGGCTTCAAGGTTTAGGGTTTAGGGTTTGGGGTTTACGGCTTCGGGTTGGAGATCCAGAATTGTGTTTTGATGCTCTGTCTCGGGGCTAGCAAGAGCTTCTCTCTGGAGGCCTTGCCCAAAACTTGCGTCAAAAATCCATGACGGTACCTGAACAAGCCCTGAAGCTGGGAACATGTTCATGGAACATTTCCCGATTTGCAGTAGGAGCACCCTCAAACATGTATACGAAAGGTTGAAGAGCTGATCAAAACAGCTGGGACGAAGCATACGTGAACTACACAGGCATGGAACACAAAGGAACAGTGTTTTGGCATGTAGTAGACTATATATACTATACTATATTAGGCTATAACATATTATAGTATAGCATAATATAATGTACTATAACAAAGACCAGGATTTTTTGCGGCCCTTGGCTTGCCCCAGACTCCAAACCTTAACTCTAAGACCCCTAAACCCAAAGCCCAAGCTCACTTGTCTAGCTCATCATTTTGGGTTCCATTGGTGGAGCGTTTCACACATCATAGGCTGTGCGTCCTCAGCTCTACATCCTACTTCCGAAGCCGCAAACCCGGAGCCCAAACACCTAAACCTTGAACTTACGCGCTATCCTACACTCCAAATCCTCAGCCCCGAAGCCGTAAACCCCGAACCCAGAAATGCCTTGGGGTTGCGGTGATCGTGACCCAACCTGAGCACCAGACGGAAAGAACATTCAAAAGTGAAGTGGAAACTGTGCAGATATAGGTGTCGAGAAAGTTTGCAAGGACGAATAAACTGGAAGAGATACAGGACATGTAATGGAACATGAAATGGAAATTGGATGTTTTGGCGTTCATAGAGACGTTATAACGCAGGTAATCCTGAATAATGATTTATGATATTTCCTTACAACCGTTGTATAAATTCTGGCTTTAATGACATAATGTACCCAGAAACCGTATTGCAATTAAGTCGGTCCCTATATGACTTAGAGGGTTCGGGGGCGTAGGGGCTGAGGGCTTAGGAGTTCAAGATCCGGACGGAAAGCTTAACAGTTTAGTGGTCTGTAGGGACAAAAGGAGCCTCGGGTTC